GGTGAGAATCAAATGAATTTCGAGAGAATTCGCTTATTAAGAGGTCGTGACTATTCTGACACATGGTGCACGCAAATTAGGCACAGGCGCAAAAACTCACATTAATATCACTATAGAGAGCTTTTGATATAGTCTCGCGATCCATGACAATACAGCATACAATTAAATCAGTAATAGATAACTTTAATAGTTAGATGGAAAGAAAATTAAGGATCTAAGAAATAATAGTAGATTTTTAGTTAATTATCTCAAATGGTTGTTGCCCATTGTTGCGCTTGGTGTACATGATCATAAGTTGATCCTAAAAAAACATATTCATTTCTCTCTCTTCTATTCTTTGATATGTTTGAATAAAGATCTACCAAACTTAATTATTACCTGATCAACATTTTCAAATATGAAAGAAAGTGTTGTACATGTGCAGTAATAATTAGCGCGTTCTACTTTCTAATCGGAAAGATACATCACCAAATATAAATGTACTAACTAAGAGCAAAGGGCCAAACAGTGAAGATCTATTCCTGCGTTCAATGTCCACACAAAGACTATCAAGTCTATACGAATCACATGAATATTTAATATGAGGAGAGATTCGCACATTACCTCCCACAATCAATCGAACGTTCATGTCACGTTTTTTTTTTTTTTTTGAAAAATAAAAAATTCTAAGAATTATTCTAAAAATAAAAAATATTCATCTCTCTTCCAATTCTAAATATTTGTTTTTGAATTTTGAATCAAATATTCAACTATAGGATAAGAAATGGTCAACAATTACAACCCAAATACATATCTCATTGAGTCTTTTTGCATACATACAATACAACAAGAAATATAAATGCAATTTAATAAGAAATGAAAAGAAAATTATGACTAAGAAATAATATATATAGGACCATGTGTTTGGCCTTACATGATGCAATTAAGTTAGATCCTAAGCCCCTTTCATTTCTCTCTTTTTCTTTGATTATGTTTGAATAAGGTCTCCACTTAATTATTGATCTCCTTTTCATAGAAAGTGTTAATTCATAATATTCCCACTTTAATGGAAGACCATACCAATTAATGTATATAGGCATAAGGGCCACACTAATTATGCCCATTGTCTCACACAAAGCATGTCTTAGATCACCATAATTTTTAAGAGAAATGCATCACCACAATCATGAAGGATGTACAAAAATTATTCTTGTTTTGTTTGTAACACTTTTGGTATCACCAATTAAACTATTTATAGGAACTTCAATTTTGGGTTGGTTGATTCAAATTATTGATTCTAAAATTAAACTGATATTGATCAATTTTTTTTTAATTTCGACGTAATATTTAGCTTAATATGCCTAAATTGATCTAAATATAATAATATGATTTATAATTACTATCAATAAACTTTTTGATCATCAACCTTTGGATTCCCTTACACATCATGATCAACTTTTCTTTAGTGGTTCGCTTGATGAACCAATATGACCCACTTTATTCATAACCCTAAACCCCAAATAGGATGGTGATATGTAAAAATAATATCTAACTATATATTAAGACATTATCATAATTCAATACTAAAAATTTTTTTTAGTTAAGAGATTGAGGATTATCAAAAGAGGGATAGGAACAGGCTAGACAGATGGGGACTTAGCTTGAATTTATGATGTAGAATGCCTTAATCTGAGGGGCAATACTATATATACATTGTCTGAAAGAAATATCATGTGGGTCTCTGTACTTTTGCTAATTGGACAATTGTAAACGTGGATGAAATAGTTTCATTCAAGTCTCTACCAACTACTATTTAAAACATAATTATTTCCAACTCATTTGGTTATACCCTTCTATAGTTCATTTGTTCCTTAAATTTATGGTCAACCCTTCATTTATTTGACTCTATCTCCAATCCAAATTTCACTTGACCTCATTCTTCTATTTCAATGCACTTTTCCATATTTAATTTCCGTTTATTTATAATATATTTGATTTTATTCTAATAATCTGTTTACGTTGCGCCAATAATGTGTTTCTGTATTAAGTTTTTAATTATGTACTATTATATGATTGTTTTTATATCCATTACATGCCCTTTCCATCACTTCAATCAATTTTCCATTTTTGGAGTTATAATTATAAGTGACACCACTGTCCAAGTTCAATCGAGCTGACCCAATAATAGTAGGCCATCTGTCATCTCCTTTATGTATCAAACTGTGCACTTTGCTACATGTCAGATTTTCACTTGACTGTACAGTGCATATGTCAGACTATTGCTGTCACTGTATCACTGTAATTTGTTTTATAAAAGACAAAAGAAAGTGGGGAGAGAATGACAACGTAATTGAGACAAATATAAGGATTAAACCCTTAAAATCTTAGGTTATGGTTCTTACTTATATATAAAGGTTGGATGGAGAAAGGGACAACTATGCCTAGCTGTTACCATTATTTTTGGTCCTTAATCTGTGGACATATTTGTCATTTTCCAGTATTAAAGGGATATGTTCTTTTCCTGTGTTTGGTCAATTCTGCCTTTCTCTTTTGTGCTTTGGGCATGACTGCCCACAAGGTTTCATTACATGGCTCCTCATATATCCTTATCTCATTCCCTATATGTTGAATGTCGTTTTGGATTCAAATTTACCTCACCCTCTCTTCAATTCAATTCATCATAACTAATAACTCATTTTTACCTTTTATATATATATATATATACTTACTATAATTTCCTTAAATAGCCCATAACGTCCTCAACAAGATTAACGCGCGATAAATTTTATTCGCAATACACACACAAGATGTTTTAATCCACTACAGTGGAAATTATGATGGGTTGAATTTGGATTAAGTATAGAAAATAAATAAATCCCTGGATATATGCATTTAATTAAAATTTGAATACTATCATGGGTCCCATAATTATTGTATTTTTCTACAAATGTTGACAATTATTGGGCAAGAGATTCTCTCACTCCTTTGACTAAATGCAAAAATTTTGATCAAAATGTGATATTGACAAACTCTATCACAATCAAATAAATAAACATTGCACTCTTTCTCTAACAAGAAACATTATCTGATTAATCATATAATTAACTTAAGCTTCTAAGTGTAAGCTGAAAATGAGTTTGTTTCTATTATTAGTGTTTTGATTCAATAATTCAACATGATAAATTAATATTAATTATTATAACAAGACACATAAACATGCTTAAAATTTGGCTCCCTCACATACTTAAGACACAATCATAATCTAATGTGGTCCTACAACAAAACATATTTTAAGAATTTTTTTTTGTTTATATTACAAGTGTCTCTAGTTCATTGAGCTAGGTTTAATCATGTTCGCATTGCGTCAGATTCATAAGTGAGAAGTGTTGTTACCAAAGATTTTATTTATTTATAAGAATCGAACAATTTATCTTTTACTTCATGGATCTGAATCCTTTTTTACTTCATGGATCTGAATCCTTTTTACTCAATAATGTATGTACAAAAGTATATGTAACCAATTTGAACAAAGCATGCTAAGGTGAAACACTTACTCAATAATACCGTTATGGATCAAATAAAAGTGCTTTTGGTAAATTGACTACTTGAGGTATAGAAATGGCAGCTTTTGCTTTTAAAAGTTTTGCTCTTTTTTGAATAGATTTTAGGTGTGGGAATGACTGGCTGTCTACGCAAGGGAAAAAAAAAAGAAGAAAAAGAAAAGAAAAGTCTTTGTGATTGTTAGTTGCTAGTTGCTAGTGCATGCCCATATGGATGGAATCTATAAAAGTAATCTCCAACATTTACAGCAAAAAAGTGACCGCATTTGCGCATTCTACTAAATACTTTAAACCGAAGCATAACGTAAAAATTAAAATATTTTGAATATTATATTGCGAGGTAATTCTGTATTTATGGATCATAAAATAACTGAAATAATTTGAAATCACTCACTCCTTTCATGTTTTACGGGAAATAAAAAGAGCAGTTAGATTATATCTGATTGGCATATATATATATGGACTTTAATGTTTTATCTCAGCTACGCAGCATATTATACTTTATTGCTTTATTTGGAAAATTTTCATACTATCGAAAATTTTTAAAGAAAAGTGTTATCTGAATTTTAAATCTAACTTTTTTTTTAGATAAAGTAAATATTCGACTTAAGATTTTTTTTTTTTAAATTAATAAGAGAGAATACATGTTAGGGTTTAAATTTATCATAAATTATAATTTACTTTATGTAAAAGTATTTCCCTACAATCATCCAAAACCACTAGATTAAACTTTGAATCCAAAATGCCAACAAACAAAGCTACTAAAGGGTTAATGGTCCTAAAGGAATGAATAGTGGGTGACCAAAAACTACAATACCACCATCAATCTCGAGCCCCAGATTGAGCCTCGAGATTCTCACATTCTCACAAAATAAGAGTAAAGAAACAAAAATGAAAATTTAAGAAAAGTGAAGGTTTTGGGTCTTTTACTGTATGGCCAAACTCAGGGAATGTTTGATTCCCCATTATGAAGAAATGCATTTTTTATCAAAGCCAATTTCTTTTTCTTTTTCTTTTTCTTTTTTTTTTTTTTTTTTTTTTTTTTTTTTTTTTTTTGCCCTTTGCACATTTTCTTGATAACCCAATAAAGTACACACAGATATGAACAATTCTCACCTCAAAAACCCATCTCTAGGCCATAACATGAACACTAATGACTCACTAACCCATAAAGGAATTTTGGTTTCACTATATGCATACAAGTGTTAGAAGATATTATTTTAGTAATAATTGCCATTTCTCATGCCTAGTTGCCCCTTTTATTTGTTTATAAATTAATGGTAAAGTTTAAAAAATATAAAATTCACATGTTTATCCTTACCAGGCCAATGCATGATTAACCCAATAATGAGAATTTCCTATTCTCTCCCTGCTTTAAGAATATTTGTCTAGATTTTGTTACTTTGTTGCTTTTAAGATTATGGCCTATATATATAAAATATTATTTATTATATATATAATATTCATTTCTTTAACCTACTGACTCATGGTGACAGCCATGCTAGTGCGCTTTATTATACAAACTGGTTCTTTTCTTGTGTGTGAGACTGACAAAAGATTTTAGTGAATGGATTTCTGGCATGGAAAGCAAGAAGTGGGTTCGAACCTAAGAATTACCTTCAACAAGAACAACTCATTTCGAAGTTAGTTTCACTGATAGAGAAAACACAGTTATTGTCATTAGAATTTTGAGCATTCGGTTTCTCTGTTTCTTGCACAATATTCTACTTCAATGGATATGAGAAGAAGAGTAGTTTTCTTTTGTTTTGTTACTTTCTTTTCGTTTTGGAGTACTGCATATGGGTTGTTATCTCCTAAAGGTGTAAACTTTGAAGGTAAATATTATAGAGTTTCTTCCTTATTGTCAAATTTGAATGTGTTTCTGTATTTTTTTTTTTTTTGCTTCAAATGAGGAAAAAATGGGGGTTTTCTGATATGGGTTATTTTTATTTCAGTGCAAGCTTTAATGGGTATAAAAGCTTCTTTACATGATCCGCATGGGGTTCTAGATAATTGGGATGGTGATGCTGTTGACCCTTGTAGCTGGACTATGGTCACTTGTTCTCCTGAAAGTCTTGTGATTGGCCTGTAAGAATTCTAAAATCTCTCGTTTTTATTTTTCCAAAAGTTTCATAACATGACATTTATGTTAAATAGCTTATATTAAATCAAAGTGTATTTATTTTCTAAACATGGTCTTATATTAATGCAGGGGAACTCCAAGCCAGAATTTATCTGGTACTCTTTCTCCAAGCATTGGCAACTTAACAAATCTTCAAATTGTGTAAGTTCCCATTATCTGATAAGCATTTCTAAGGAGAAACTTCTCCTTTTCTCTGAAAAAATTGTCTCTGGTGTTCAATTTGTGGTGTTCTGTTTATTTTTGCAGGCTTTTACAGAACAACAATATTACAGGACCAATTCCTGCAGAGATAGGAAGGCTATCGAAGCTTCACACACTTGATCTTTCTGACAATTTCTTCACTGGAGAAATTCCTTCTTCTTTAGGCCGCCTAAGGAGTCTCCAATACATGTAAGAACAAATTATTTTTAAATCTAAATATGAAAATGAACAATTCTATCTATGTTATATGTATTTTTAGGAATACGCCACTTCTGAGTATAAATTTTTTACTTGGATCGTTTGAACCTGATATAGGAGGCTAAATAATAACAGTCTTTCTGGAACTTTCCCGATGTCATTGGCTAACATGACCCAGCTTGTGTTTCTGTAAGTCTAACGACCTATTATTGTGCATGAATGGTTTATATGCATTTATTGTGCATTAGTGATTTATATTTGACCAAAATCATCTCATTAAAAAAGGTTTTGTCTGTTGACTTCAGTGATTTGTCTTACAATAATCTAAGTGGCCCTGTACCCAGATTTCCAGCTAAAACATTCAAGTAAATTCTCTCTCTCTCTCTCTCCTTCCTTCTTTGTCTATGACTCTCTAGATTGTTAATTATACACTCAAATGCATTTCTTTATTGTTGCAGCATCGTTGGGAACCCTTTAATATGCCCAACTGGGTCTGAACCGGAATGCTTTGGGACAACACTAATGCCAATGTCTATGAACTTGAATAGCACACAAAGTAAGGATACTTGAGAAAACCTTTTTTTTTTTGTTTGTTTTCTTTCCATAATTTTCTATGTAAAAGCTTCGGCTTGGTCTTGGGTTGATTCTAACTTTAACATCTTTGCAATTTAAGCTGCTTTACCTTCTGGCAGACCAAGGAATCACAAAATAGCGGTTGCATTCGGTTCTGGTGTTGGTTCTGTCTCACTCATCATTCTTGTGATCGGATTACTTCTATGGTGGAAGCAAAGGCATGATCAACCGATATTTTTTGATGTTAAGGGTGCGTAATAAGTGATTCTGTTCTTTCTATAATTAACATTGAATGGCTAGTTAATCACTCTGATGAGTCCTAAATGTTTTCGGAATATTAGACCGACACCATGAGGAAATTTCTCTTGGAAACTTGAGGAGGTTCCAATTTAGAGAGCTTCAAGTAGCAACAAATAACTTTAGCAACAAGAACATACTTGGAAAAGGAGGCTTTGGCAATGTGTACAAAGGAATTCTCCAAGATGGAAGTATTGTTGCCGTCAAGAGGCTAAAAGATGGCAATGCTGTTGGAGGAGAGATTCAATTCCAAACTGAAGTTGAGATGATAAGCTTAGCAGTGCACCGTAACCTCCTTAGGCTATATGGATTTTGTATCACACCGACAGAAAGGCTTCTAGTGTATCCTTACATGTCAAATGGCAGTGTAGCTTCTCGTCTTAAAGGTGATACATTTTTGCTTTTAATACCAAAGATGGTTTAATTAAGCTTGTTTGGCATTGAGATTGAAATTGCTTTTGCAGAGAAACCCAGTTTTAGATGCTGTCCAAAAAATTGGTTTTGGAGTGTTACTTTAGTCGTTTTGAAGCTTTTATGATTAGAACATGTAAACTTCACCTTAAACACAAACTTTAGTGATGTCAAACCAACATTTTCAACTAAGTGCTTTTCTCAATAGCACCTCAAACAACAATGCAGACACAAGTCTTAAAATGCTACTTTCAACAGATGAAATCATAAAACTGACCCATCTTTCATTAATTGGCAGGAAAACCGGTTTTGGATTGGGGGACGAGGAAGAGAATTGCGTTAGGAGCTGCAAGAGGACTATTATACCTCCATGAGCAATGTGATCCAAAGATTATCCATAGAGACGTTAAAGCAGCAAATATATTGCTTGATGACTATTGTGAGGCTGTGGTAGGGGATTTTGGATTGGCAAAGCTTTTGGATCACCAAGATTCACATGTTACTACCGCTGTTAGAGGCACAGTTGGACACATAGCACCAGAATATCTTTCCACAGGCCAATCTTCTGAGAAAACAGATGTTTTTGGATTTGGTATTCTGCTTCTTGAGTTAATCACTGGCCAAAGAGCACTAGAATTTGGCAAAGCAGCTAACCAGAAAGGAGCCATTCTAGACTGGGTGAGCACAATATTTGAGGCACCATTTAGAATATAGGAATTTTGAAAAATCAATCTTTTGGCTCAACGAAGAGAGAATAAAATCCCTCACTCACTAAAATTTTTGAAATCCCCACATAAGAGGTGGATTTTTTTGAAGCCCGTCATTATACTGACTGAGGAATTTTCTAAATTGTTTTTTTAGTATTTTAAAAACACCCTTTACTTTTTTATATTTAGCGTCCATACCAGTAAAGTAAGATTGTAGAAATCCATCAAATAGAAAACTCAGTTCTTTAATTTCATAGATTTTCACAAATAACTTGGATTTTAGAAACCCTCAAACCAAATGTAGCTATAGTCCATTCCTTGCTTCTAGATCTCTTCAAAATTTTCCAACTTAATTGGTTCACATTCCTATAATTGCAGGTAAAGAAGATTCATCAGGAGAAGAAGCTTGAAATGCTTGTAGATAAAGATTTAAAAGCGAACTATGACAGAATTGAACTTGAAGAAATAGTACAAGTGGCACTTTTGTGCACCCAATTCCTTCCAAGCCATAGACCAAAAATGTCTGAAGTAGTTAGAATGCTTGAAGGTGATGGACTTGCAGAAAGATGGGAAGCTTCTCAAAGAGTAGAAGCAACTAAGCCCAAACCCCATGAATTCTCTTCATCGGATCGATATTCTGATCTCACTGATGACTCTTCATTACTAGTTCAAGCAATGGAGCTCTCTGGTCCAAGGTGAATTCTTTGCAAAAATTTTCATATATTTTCTTCTTATTTTTTTTTCCTCCTTGATTTTCAAAGAGAATTAGAATGTTAGAAGAGCAAATTTATAGGTGAAGATGTTTTGTAATAGTGCAATCATGATTGAAGTTCTATTTTCTTTTTTCTTTTTTCTTTTTTGTATAATAGGGGTTATATTCAGAACTCTAAAGGGTTTAAATGTTTTTACTGAATTGTACAGATTCTGTTTGGCAAAACTGACAATTTTTAGAATGGAAAAAATTTCATGTATTTGTTTTCTGATTTGAGTGAAATTTTGTATGACCGTTATATGTTCAATATACTAGACTAATAGGATGTTGCAGTCAATGCACCAGACTTTCTCAGTACAATATTTGGTAATGTGCAATACAAATTGTGCTATAACCAATATGCTGATATCAAATTTAAAAATCAAATTAAGCAGAACCCTAATTAAAAAATCAGATTGAGCAGAACTCTAATTGACACGACACTAAATAAGCCTTCAATTTAATTGCATTAGCAAGTTTAATTGTGTTATTGTATTTAACGTTAGTGTCCCTTTGCTTTCTTACCATAGTAGAAGATATAACCTACAATTAATTTTACATGTAATAGTATCGTTCCTAAATATAAATAAATGGAATATGGTTTCAGATTCGAGATTTCTCAATTACAAAAACTTTCAGTAAATTTGATGAATTAAGATACTCATGTCGTAATCCACAGTAGTATTCTGGCCCGTTTCAATAATATATAAACAAAATAATTGAACAGATGTGCAAACAATAGTCGAGTTGCCCAAATAGTACGAATACGGAGTACCAACTGTACTCAAGTTGTTGCTTGTTGACATATGTTAAAGGAAAAGCAGAGTGTAGACAGGTTGCAGAGGACTGAACAGAGGAATTAATTGGATTCTGTTGCATACATCCTGTTCACCTCAACAAAATCGGACAAAACATCATCAATTCTTGCTTTAAGTTTTGTTCCAGCGTTTCCACTAAAGAATTGCAATTTGCAAATTTCTTTCTGAAAAAATTTCATTTAGGTTTTCACATGCACGTTGATCAGCAACGAATTTTCAGGTAACTTTTAGTATTATTCAATGGTGGAGCATTTATACGAATAGTTAGAGTTTGAGATACTATATTATAAAACATCTAGTATAAATAACTGATAGCTATCAAAAGAGCTAGTAACTACTAAAACAGTTGATTTTAACTGTTTTATCGAATAAGCTACAGTAGCATTATCTACCAAGTTATGGACCAACTTTCGCACTACACATAAAGTCACTCTCTTGGATATGTTCAAAGATGAAAAAATCACAGTTCTCAAAATCCTCGTTATGTGGTCTTGCGATTAATAAGATGGGTAAGCAAACCCACTTTACCAATCCAACTAACAACGTTCTTGACTTCCCTAGGTTCTGAAAGTACATTGCTTCTGCAACTCAATGACTTTCCTGGTTTTACCATGGTGAAATAGCATTTCAAAATTTACAGGATTTATTGTGCTTTTAAATTTATGAATTCCGATGGCATACCTCTCCGCAACAGCAACAACAGTTTTTAAGATTTTTAATTTTAATACCTAAAAATTTTAGGCACGATTAAATAACTTTTGCAATAATAATATTCATCTTTTTCAATTATACAATAAATATTTAGTTGATGTAATTTTGCAAATTAAATCGTTCAATAGAATAATTTTATAAAATGTGGTAAGATAAAGCATTTAACAAGTACAATTCTATAAATTGAAACGTTAAATGAAGCAAAATTGCTACAAATTTTTTTTTTTTTGAAAAATTAAAATAAATAAATAAAAGAAAAGGGAAGAAAAATTTTTTACTCTTCAGAGTGAAAAGTTAGGCACAGAAAATAAGTAAATAAGTAAATAAATAAATAAAAAGGGAAGAAAACATTGTTTACTCTTCAGAGTGAAAAGTCTGACACAGAAACAATAAGGGAAAAGTAGAAAAGTGCTTAGGCTTATATTCTCTGCGAAGAGACTGCCTGAATCATTGATTGAAACCTAGTAAAATAGTAATAACGAAAAATGACCAAAAAAACCAATCACTCAAAAAAGAATAGAAGAGTGTTTTGATAGCATAATAAGAAGCATCAGCATAACAAAAGAATATCCGCTAGAAATAAGAAAGAAAAGATCATGATTCATGGGGAAGTTGGATAAAAGCTTGAGAAGATATAGAAAGCTCAATTCATCTCCATAACACAGATAGCCAGCCAAAAAGCACTAGTTCATTAACCATAAACAAGCTAGAACAAGCATTTGTCACCAGGAGCTTTAAATAGCTCATGAGCCGACTGATTTCAAGCTCTAATCGTGAAAATATTTTTTCACTGCAATTTAATGCTAAGAATCATATGGTATATACTTCCTCAGCGAGAAATGCAGATATCCAGATAATCCACCTTGAAGCATATCTCTAATTATTGTATTATATGGGTATAAAAAAAAAATTATTTGCTTATAAACAAGCATCACTAGTTTATGTCAAATACATCACAACAAATTTACATGCAAGAGACTTCAATGGTTGCCATTGTTTTTAAATTACAACATGAAAAACCTACGAAAAAAAATCAGAAATGCCTTTGGAGGTTTGACGAAGGAAAGCTTACAGGGTTAAACTTGTAAATTTCACATGTTCAGAAGCCCGGTCGAGTTGCTGCAACAGTAATTCTGAAATCCTTTCACCGCCGCTGTACTTTACAATAGTCATTAATTCCAGCATTGGCGAATGAGCAAGCAAAAGTTTAATGAATTCCCATTCAGTTCCTGATCCAAAGATGCCTCTAATCTTCACTACTTTGAGTTTGTTGAAATAGAAGTCGCAGAGACACTGTGCTCTGACAAAATCAGTAACAGTTGTATGTTCCTGACTAGAAGTATCAACCTACACAGAATAACAAGGTAGAAGTCATCTCCATCAGCATGTGAATCCCACGCAAGCATCAAACTTAGATCACTAATTGGTTATATACTTTGGTCCTTCTATTTCAAAATTAGTTATTTAAGTCTTGAGATTTGTTAATACTCTGCACTTTAGTCCTTTATTATGAGAATACAAAATTTTCACCACATTTAGTCCCTGTTGCTTTAAATTTATCCTTCAAATTTTAAATCAATTTCTAGTGCCAAAATTAATTTTAAAACACTTTAGTCTCTAGAAATCCTTTAAAACCATTTACATTTTTACCGGTGACCAGTAGTACAGTCATGAAATTGTTATTTTGAAATAATAGGGATCAGGCAAACCTCAGGGTTTTTCTTTGTTTATCCTAATTTATTTCTTGACCACCAAAAAATCACTACTCAAAAAATTATAATAGCTGTCCGCCAAATTAACTCACCGTGATAAGAAGTTCTTCTAAATTTGGGCAGCTTCTAAGAATAGAAATAGAAGCCTTAAGGTCTCTCAGACGGGTAAATCTTACTTCTCTTAGATCAAGGGCCAAAAGGCAGTTGAGCATGGTAGGAAGTCTTTCAGGTACATCATCGTTAGCTAGAAACTAGATGCAAAGCATGGAATAATATTGCATGAGAAGTTTTATTTATTCTAAGAATTCGAAAGAAAACAATTAAGATAAATAAATAAACTCAAACAAAGCTTTCAAGTATAAAAATAATACCTCAAGAAATTGACCATACAAACTGAGCTTGTTTATACTATCTAGACAGCCCAAAACTCTGACTAAGTTGCAAACTTTCCCTTGCTCATGACGCCGAAGTATAGCATGTCCATACATAGGAATCATGCGAATATCAACAGTAGCTAGAAGCGAACTACTTCCAAGACAGATATCTTCAAATTTAGAATCTAGTTTCAAGTATTTTATGTTTGGGTTGTGGATCCTTACAAAAGATAAATGATCAATATTCCATAGTGTCAATTTCTCAAGAACAGGGCAATTGCAGATTAAACTTTCAAGCGTATCGCTCACTATAAATGAATGACTAAGCTGAAGGCTTTTGAGGCAATCAAATCCTCTAAAAAAAGTAGGAAGCCTGAATATACAACCATAAAGCTCCAAGCAATTAAGCTTTGGACAGGAGAAAACACAGGAAGGCAGCTTAAAACGCTTTATGAAACTGAAGTCCTGAATAATTAACTCCTTGATTCCTTTCTCTGTTAGAAAATCTATCCACTGATTTAAATCAGAGTAGTTTGGACAGCAATATGTTGCAAGCTTGAACTTCTCTATTGGACCACTGTGATAGAATCGAACCTTGTTAATGATTTTCATAATTTCTACCCACCTGGCTACCTTGTCTGATAAGGAGCTTCGGATGCATTTATCATCGAAAACAAACTGAGAAAGGCCAGTCCACTTATATCTCCATTTCCTTGATAAGATACTAGTCCTTGCAGCCTCTCTTAGCGGCAGGTGCACTAGGATGCTGTCTAAAACATCCCACGGTAGGTTACTTATCCTATCTATCTTTGCCTGGTTTTCCATTTCAGGGGGCCTGTGATATTTCCCTAGATTGTTCATCCGTTATTTGGCTGAATTTAAAAAAAAAAAAAATCTAAATAAATAAACTGGAATAGGTTCTTGAGAGAGAGAGCACAGTGACCTGCAAAAGATAATTTCTCTTGTGCATAAAAATTACTAAGTCAATAAAAGAAGAGAAAAAGAAAAAGTTATGAGCTAGAAGAAGAAACGAGAGTATAAGAATGATAACTGCAAACTTGTAATTTCTTTTCGTACTGGTAAATGATCTTTATGTGGAAAACGACTTCTAAGCCAAAAAGAAGAAAAATTCAAGAGAAAAGGGGAAAAGGCATGCAAGCATTTCCTATTGCGTAGGAGCGTGAGTGAGAAAGAGAAATAAGAAGTGAAAAATATGAGACTAGCCAAATGCAGTTGAAAATCACTCAATTTTATGTATTAATTCCCTGTTTGAAAGAGAGCCAATTCTAGTATGTTGACATAATAATTGTACTCATAATTTGTTTGGCTGACAAGAATTCTATCTCACCCTAGAGCAGCTGTAAGTGGAGGACAGAAGTAAGGTTTCATGCCTAACCTAACAAATGCGGACATCATTGTACCTCCCTGACAGTGAGTAGCCACTCATTTTCTGAAGTTCAGAGAAAGTGAAACAATAAGCATACAAGTAACAACAAACAAGTGTCGTCAGGTCAATATAATCAGAGGCCAAACTCCAAAGTTAACGTAATTATGACACAACATTTATTATGATAAGAAGATATTCTAATAGAAATGGTATTGAAATGAGAAACATATTCTAATAGGAAACAACCGCAACAAAGCTTTGCAAGGATAAAGGATCAAACAAGAAACAAATTTCTTGTCATTGGGGAATACCAAAAAAAGAAAAGAAGAAACAAAAGAAAATTAAAAATAACAACAGTCAATAATAATTACTTAAAAACAAGCAATTAAAAGCAAATATTCATCATCATTTGGAAGACTGAGATAAACCCAAATTGTTATTTTTTTAATAATGTTATAATATGAAAATGGGTTTGTCTTTTTACAGAACTCCAAATAAAAATTCCCCAATTCCTTTCCTACTTTTCGAAGCAAGCAGAATAATCATTTCTTCTTTTTCAGCGAATTTTTTTACTAATTCTTAAAATTCTGTCAATAATCAGAACAAATCCACTTCTTCAAGCTTCCATTCTCAACAACACCAAACAGTGATTCAAGTTGATCAGAATTAGGATCCAAGCTAACCACACAATATTCATTTATTGTATTTACTGAAGAAGAAAAAAAATGAAAAAAGAGAAGCTGAAAAAATTACCTTTACCATAAAAACCGGTGATCGGCGACCGGCTATCCGCCATCGGCGACGACTGAAAGTGGTTCTGGTGGACCCAGTGTGAAAGAGGAGGTTGGTGTTCTCAATTCTGTCTATGCAACGTTAATAGATCCGTTATTCTTAATGTTTGGATTAGCTACAGTAATTAATTATTCTCTCATATTTTGCTTCAATTATGGTATCAACATCCACTTTTAAAAAATTACTTAAAATCCAATTTTTTATTTTTTATTTTATTTTATTTTTCAGAATATGTGTCTCCAACTCGGATTAAATAAAAATATATTCTCAACATTAATGACTTCAGAATTTGGATTAAATAAAAATATATTCTCAACATTAATGACTTTAGAATTTCAGAATTTTTATCTGTAGTCTTATGGCAAATTTGAGTAATTTTATCTAATAAATTTTTTTTTTGTCAAATCGTACATACATTTATCATTAAATTATATTTTTATATACAATTAATTTATATATTATAAATTTGATTATAAAAGTAATTCTTATGTATCATGCATAATATGAGATGATCAGCATAATGTAAGAATACCCATATTGAGTAGGATTTATTTTACAATGAGAAAATTATTTAAAACTCTTTGAGATTTTTATTAATGTATATTTTGTCTCAAATTGGATGTGTTTAGGTTGATAGAATTTAAACTATAAAAAATATATATTTTATTTATTTGTCAGATTACTTCATTTTGGTGAGATAAAATAAACTATAATCCATGGATTTGGTAGATTTTATAGATTTTAATTGTATGGTTTTAGAGGAAACAAAAATCATATTTCAAAATTAGAATTTTCTCAATTCATTATTTACATTGATAGTATAAATTAAATCATTTAATTTCATTCTAAAAATATTTTTTAAATTTATAAAATGATGTAATACCCTTCGGAATATTTAAAGGGACTCTATGTCTATAATTCGAATTCAAAACTTATGATTAAATGAGAAGTGATCTCTTTAATCTCATCCATTCGGATTTTATTTTGTTCTATTAATTATTCCATGCTTAAGGCTTCTTATATACGGGACTCTCTGCTACTACACTCTCGACCATTCAAAACGTTAAATGATTAAATGAGTGAGAGTGATCCTTTATAATCTCATCCACTATCGGAGACTTTTATTTTGTTTCTATCTTATTATTCCAGCATGCACTTGTAACCCTGCCTCGCTTACTTAAGTATTCACTATAGTAGTACTAAGCTTATATAGCTACCACTACTATATGTGATAGTCGACTAGGCACTTACACTATAACCCGAAAAGTAGCTATAATATCTCACTCGCGAGACGTAGAGCGGCGATATATAAAAGTAGCTATAATCTCTCTTGGAGAGTAGAGCGGAAAGGTTTTTGATAGTAAAGCGCGCTTCCTTAACTTATTTGCTCACCCTTAAGTGCTGATGTCACTTACCACCTCAATCAACACCTTATTAATTTCATAAAAAGTCTTTAATTATGCGTAATGAATTTTTGACGTCATTAAATTCTTAAATTTTTCTACTACTACATTAAAATTTGTTACCCGAAATATTAAATTTTGATTAACATTTTTAAATTCTACATTATTAAAAAAAAAAATCTTTGTTTTGCCCTTTCTTTTTTTTTTTTTTTTTTTTTTTTTTTTTTTTTTTTTCTTTTTTTTTGGCCTTATTGAGCTTAGGGATGCGAAGCCAAGAGTGGGACTTTGGCAAATGATCCAACCCTTAAAAAGAAATCATTAAAAAGTTGATAGAAACCTGCAAAAATACCCATAGCTGAGACTACACTCTCTAACTGGTATGATACTATTTTGCTATTCTGCTCCAATCGAACCTGCAGATAGAAGAATTAGAAAAATTAAGAAAAATGGACCCTTCAGGACCGCAATAATTTTTTTTTTTTTTTTTTTTTTTTTTTTTTTGCCTTAGTTGAGCTTAGGGGATGGAAGCAAGATGGGCTTTGGCAAATATCCAACCCTTAAAAAAATCAATTTAAAGTGATAGAACCTGCAAAATACCTAGCTGAGCTACACTCTCTAACTGGTATTACTATTTGCTATTCTGCTTCCAATCGAACCTGCAATAGAAAATTAGAAATTAAGAAAATGGACTTCAGGCCCAATAAATGAGGTACAAAGTGAACTGGATTTATTCAAACCCTCTCAACAAATTTTGTTTGAGGCCCAATGATTCTCATATAGTTCTACTTTGGGCCGACCTAAGAAATTGCGATGGATAGGATTCAGGTCTAGTAATCCACTGTCTAGTAATAAAATAAAATATAAACTATTGATAAATGAATTTAATTTAATTTTACTACCATTTGTTATAAATGAATTTAAATATAATTCATTTTCATATTTAATATATTTAATTCAAAACAATTGAATTTCACATATTTATATTTAGAATAAAACTCAAAACTGTTTTACTTTTATTTTCTAAAATATTCTTAATACAATAATTTTAGGCTAGGAGGAGGATAAATAATTTTATTATGAAATTTAATTTTATAGAATTAATTTAAAAAATTTAACCTATTTTGAAATAATTTAATTCTATTTAAATTCATAGAATTGAATTTAATGAATTGAAACTTTTACCTTTCATTATATTCTAAACACAAAAAAATTAAATTTATAAATGAATTTCATAAAATTTTATAGAATTCATTTATTTTATATAAGAGTAAATCTTTCTATACTTATAACTTATATATAAGTTATAATGAGTTTAGATAATATACTTAATCATTTTCGATTTCAAATGTTTGAATAGATTACAACAAAGTTTCGATTTATACCAGGTTTTATAGAAAGAGTTCAGCTTCTACCAATAGAACTTTCCATAAAATGTGAGTTTATTATCATAGCTTATGAATTCCAACCCATTTTTTCCATCATATAGTAATTATTTAATGTTGGCACTTTTGATTATCATGAAGATATTTTTAATTATTCAATGAAAAAAAATAATAACTTAAAAAAAATTGTTTATATGAAAACACTTGCACCAATTAAGCGTAAGCAAATTTTATCTGTTGTTGGTAAAGATTTAGCAAATTATAAATTTGAACATTCATTCTTTTCATTTTCAAGTAGACGTTTTCGAATTTTCTTCCATGCAAAACAAAACAATTGATGCGTCAAAATCAAAAGATCATAATGGATAAGTATCAATGTCTTCTCCTCACCACAAATTAAATTTGCCTTAGCAGTCGACAAATTATCTATTATAATATTTATATCAACACTTATCTCCTACATTAGTTATACCCTCTGAAATTCACAAGTAAGGTTTCAATCCAAAATTCTTAGATTTGTGCTACATATACATGAAGGGACGAATATGTACTTTCAAATTGTGTTGGATGAATTGTAATATAATATAATTAAATGTATTAATATAGTATAAACACTAAAATTATATTATGTTAAGTTTCATTTCAATTCATAAGGGTAATATATATTTAAATCTCTAAATTATATTTTAAATAAAACACTTTCATCACATTATTCTTGAGAAAGTACTATTACATTTCAATCCAGTATTAAATTTTTTATCTAAAAAATCGGCACTTTTCATTCAAAAATTTGGCTTTAACTTACAAAAAAATCATGACTCATGCGATTTGTTGGAAAAACACTCTAAGCTGACCTTCGTCCCTCTGACACCCCAAATAAAAAACTTTGTAATATTATCACCGTAAATTCAAGTTTAGCTAAAGTTTTAAATAAAAAACTAATAAAGTGGGTTTCATAGAACCATCTCAGGTTTACTTAAACCATGACACCATTTTGATACCAATACTCACCATTTCACTTGGTCGTTTTTTCACCAAAAATCCTTCATTGCTAAAGCGACTCTCTTCTCTCTACCTCTCCTCTTCCTTCTTCTCCTTCTTCATTCGCGATAATGGTGAGTCGTAGTAGCCAAATCTCCTTCTTAAACTTTTACAATTTCTACACAATCTTGCAAAATCGATCAAAGATAATCGATATAGGCGTCTTAGGAAGATGATTAAAGCTCACATTGCCAATTGAAGTTGCCGGAAACAACTCAGGCGAGTTGGACAGGCGCCACTTTGCAACCAACCTCTCTCTCTTGATCAATGGCACCACAAAACAACGATGGAAAGTTGCTCTTGAAGTGAAAAACAAGGAAAGATGATCTTCCTTTGGAATGGTATCTCCCTTGCGAACAAAACCCCTCAATAAATTTGTGGCTCCTGTCTCCTTTGCGAGATTCGAATGAGAGAAGTTGTTGCCACCATGATAATAGTCGGTAATGGGGATTGAACTCAATCAAAAATGAACCCTAGTTAATGAGAAGTTGGTATCAGAACTGTGCATTTTGATGCCTTGAATTAAGTGAACCCAACATGATTTTGTGGGATCCATTTTATTAGTTTTTTATTCAAAATCTTAGCTGAATTTGGATTTAGGGTGATAATATTATAAAATTTTTTATTTGGATCGCTAAGGAACGAAGGTCAGTTTAGAATGTTTTTGTAACAAATCGCATAAAATTTTTTTATAAATTAAGCGTATAAATTGGGTATATTTTGTCAAGAAAATGTATTTGACTAACAGTAAAATGCTGATTTTTAGTACCAAAAGACTTGATAGTGAATTAAAATAAAATTATAAATATTATAGTAATTTTTTAGAAATAGAGAGACGAAAAGTGTAAATTTAAAGAGTTAATTATATTTCACTTATTCCTCAAATATAATGTAATTATATATAGCTTTGCAATGGACCAAAAGCGGTAAACGAGGGGATCAGAACAGTCCTCTTAAGTCTCACCAACACGTGGTGGAGATGCATCCTAATCCATATGGCTTGTTTCGTGGCAGTGCGTTATTGGCTGGAGGTATTTCCATTGGGGTTTTTCTGAGTCAGCTTCCCCTCTTTATGTAAGGATAAGGAAGTCATTTGGTTTGCACATCAGCATCCGCACCGTTTAAATTGAGAAAAAGAATGCAAGTGAAGTGATACAATCAATACAAGTCAGCATTGATGAGATGCAGATGTGTTTTCCTGTGGGACCCTCAATAGCTTTTTGGGCCACTCATAGTTGTAGAAGAAGACAAAAAGTAAAAAGTAAGACAAACTAAGAATGTTGAGGAAAAGTTGTCCCAACTTGCTGGGACAAGTTTAAATAAATCGATGATTCGATGTTTAGCAATGAAGTAAATGTTCGTTTTTATTCCATAAAATTATCGGTTTGAGTAATTTTTTTATAAAATATTAAATATTATGTATATTAATTTTTCATAAATTATATTTTAATTTTTAAAAATTAATTCAAATATTATATTATTAAATATTTATAAAAATAATTTTTAACGTGTTTAAAAAATTCTTACCTAAAACATATTTTATCGCAATTTAATATATTTGAAGTCTAAAAGTGCAGATTCATTGATTGTTCCATCAATTCAGTAAACCAACTAAAAGGAAAGAAAGAAAAGAATGGGATACAACTTACAAGAAAGTGGAAGGAGACAGGCTAAGGTGGTTTCCTTTTTTGTTATCTTAGTAAGTATGATACTATACCAAATTTGTCAAATGCATTGTGTGATCTTTGTATTTTTAATACAACTGATGAAATGGTGTTTCTTTTTTGGCATTTTTACAACGCCTTGATTTTATTTCGTAGTAATATCAACTTTTAAATACACAATAATTTTTTAATAATTTATTAAAGATGAAATTGATGATTTATAAAATAGTAAGCTCAATTGTAAATGATTTGCAGTATTTTTAAATAATTTCTAAAATTTTATAACGGGTTACAAAATAATAACTCTATATATATTTTATAATAATTTGTAAAAGTGATTTTTTTTTTTTTTGACGTGGCCAGATTACAGAAATAGCTTTGATTGCCAATATTTTGTATTACTTACTAATAACTTATTGTGAAATTGCCATAATGTAAAATAATAATTCTGATTAACAATATTTTGTAATACTTCCTAATATTTTATAAAGTTTCCATATTGGAAATCGGAGTTTCAATTATTTTGTAATATTTTTTAATATTTTGTAAAATGTAGTTTTTCTTTGTAAAAGTTGGTGATTTACAAAGTTATAGCTCTGGTTATTAATATTTTGTAATATTTTTATGTGTTCTATAAAATATGAATATTTTTTATAAAATTGCTGAATTACAACATAATGGATTTAAATTTTAATATTTTTTAATATTTTGTAAAATGTAGGAAGCCTATTTTTTTGTGTGAATTATTCCCCGTCCTTTAGTTCAGGATGCACAAACTTTGCTCTCTTTCTTTTTTATTTTCTTTTGAAACATTGAGATATATTTAATTTTTCTATCTTATTAATTATGGAGTAACGCTAATTTATTTTATCACTCTTTATAAGAACATAAAAAGCCTCGATTTCAAATTATTTTCACTACATGAATTTTCTCACCATGTTTTATATTTTTTTTTCTTTTTCATAATAAAATAAATTCAATACACATGTTTTATAAATTTATAATATTATTTAAGTTCATTTCACCGCTAATGAAAAAAAAAATAAAAATATTAAAGCCTATTATTTCTTCCATCACAAAGAAGTAGGGTAGAATGCGCAATATATAAAATTCACTTTGTATTTTTATAAAAAAAGTTGATAATATTATAATTGTCAAGATAGTTCAAATACCACATGTTTTTATAAAATTTATAATTTATTTAAGTTTAAGTCAATTTCAATCGCGTAATGGCAAAAAAAAAAATAAAAATATTAAAGCACTATATTTTTTCCAGTCACAGAAGAAGTAGGGTAGAATGCGCAATATATTAAAATTTCACTTGTATTTTTATAAAAAAAAGTTGATAATATTATAATTTAAAATATATATATATATAATATAGTATATAATATTATACTGATATGTATTAACATTGGAAAATAGGAAACGAATTACGGAGGTCTAAATTAATAAGTGAGCTCAGGTACGTACGGGACTAAAAGTCCTCAACTCCAAGAGCAACACGATTCAATATAGTGCAAGCTTTAAAAATAAAATAAACTATGTGAATTTTAGTAAATTCTGTAACTGAGCGTGTGCAAGCCCGAATCTAATCTTAAATACAAAATGCCAAAATAAGGGAGAGCGAGGCAACGACAGTGGTCTTCGTGGAGAGCGAGTACTATTATCTTTCTCTACGTCGAGACAGTAAAAACACCCATTACAATATAAGAGTTCTAAAAGCCAAAGAGCGGCCAGCTCAGAACTCAAACTGCTGGCCCCCTCAAAACTCAGCCAACACCACAAAGAATAGATGCCGGCAACAAATTTTCAAACCACTAAATTTAATGGCCACGTGTAAGCCCAGTGGATTCTCTTTTTCCTCATATGTATTAATCATTGGAAAATAGGAAACGAATTACGGAGCTAAATTAATAATAGCTCAGGTACGTACGGACTACAGTCTCAACTCCAGAGCAACACGATTCAATATAAGCTGCACTTTAAAAAAAATAAAATAAACATTGAATTTTAGTATTCTGTAACTGACGCGTGTGCACCGAATCTAATCTTAATACAAAATGGGCCCAAAATAAGTTCGACAACGACAAGTGTCTTCGTGGAAAGCGAGTACTATTTCTTTCTCTACTCGAGACAGTAACACCCATTACAATAAATGATTCTAAAAGCCAAAGCGGCCAGCTCAGACTCAACCTGGACCCACCTCAAAACTCAGCCAACCACAAAGATAATGCAACAAATTTTCAAACCACTAAATTTATGCCACGTGTAACCCAGTGGATTCTCTTTTCCTCTACAGTTAACCCTCTCTTCACTTACTATCCTCTCACTCATAACTCAGAACTCAAATCCCAAAACATTAACACTTACATTTGAGCTATGCTGAAGGACGAGAACAACAACGATGGCGGAAATGGTGGAGGTAACAACTGGGCGCGTGTCTGCGACACATGTCGCGCAGCTGCCTGCACTGTTTATTGCAAGGCAGACGCGGCCTATCTCTGCGCTGGGTGCGACGCCCGCGTGCATGCTGCTAACCGCGTAGCGTCGCGCCATGAGCGCGTGTGGGTGTGTGAGGCGTGTGAGCGAGCTCCAGCTGCCTTCATATGCAAGGCAGACGCAGCGTCTCTCTGTACCGCCTGTGATGCGGATATCCATTCAGCAAATCCCCTCGCGCGTCGCCACCAACGTGTTCCGATTCTCCCCATTTCCGGTGGCCTCCACAGTCCTCATGTTGGACACATGGGTGGGGAGAATACGGAAGACATGTTTGTGGAAGAAAGAGAAGAGGAAGTTGGTGAAGAGGAAGAAGATGAAGCAGCTTCTTGGTTATTGTCAAATCCTGTTAAGAATAGTAATAATCAGAATAGTAATAATAATACAAATGGATTCTTGTTTTATGGTGGTGGTGGTGGTGGTGGTGAAGTTGAGGAGTACTTGGATTTTGTTGAGTATACGTCAAATGCTTGTGGTGATCAGAATCAATATTCTGATCAGAACAGTTTGCAGCAGCAACAGTATGGAGCTGATGGTGTTGTTCCAGTACAGTGCCTTGAAGCAGGAAAAGATCAAATGATTAATCATCATCAACAGTACCGTAATTTTCAATTAGGGTTGGAGTTTGATTCCTCAAAACCAACTTACAGCTATAATGGATCAATCAGTCACAGTGTAAGTTTTTCTTAATTTTCTAATTAATTCTGTTAGTTAATTAATTATCTCAAAACTCTATATATTGTTTGGTTTGATGAGCTCTGTTTAACTAATTGAGTTAGTTGATTTTTGTTAAATTGCTTTATTCATATTCACTCGGAAGAGTTTAGATAATAATTCCACAGTGACTCTCGACGGGAGAATCCAGGCTATTCAGGAAGAATTGCAGAGTATTTTAATAGCTTGGTTCTTCTAGTAAATTAATAATTAATTAATCATTTGGTATTTTTTTATGTGTGGTTATGGATATTCTTCGTCTACATGTGATAATTGGAAGGTTAGACCAAACTCCAAATTCCATGTACAGGGTATTATTCTTTATGTTACTTTTCTGCACTTTAGCCCTTTCTTTACCCTTTTCTCTGCTAAAAGATGGAATCTGAATGCTCAAGTGTTTACCCACTTTTCCTTTTTCCTTTTTCCTTTTGCCTTTTTCCCAAGTCACCATTTGGATTTCAGATTCTATAATATCATCATTTTTTTTTTCTTGAAAAAAAAAAAAGAGACTAAATGTTTCTAGATTCAACTTTATTTTTTCTTCTAAGATTAATATTAACATAAATGAAGGATTAAGGCACCTAAACTTTTTTAAGTTCTCAATCTCATTTATTACTGTTCTACTGGCACATAACATATGATCTTTGATGCAGCAAATATACAAGACATTACATTTCTTAATAATTTCATGAGATTCTTAAACAAGATTCTAAATTTCTTTTCTTTTTTGTCTGTAATTAGGTCTCAATTTCTTCAATGGATGTTGGAGTGGTGCAAGATTCAACAATGAGTGAAATCTCAATCTCACACTCAAGAACTCCAAAAGGGACAATTGACCTTTTCTCCGGTCCTCCAATGCAGATGCCATCCCAACTTAGTCCGCGGGACAGGGAAGCAAGGGTCCTAAGATACAGAGAGAAAAAGAAGACCAGAAAGTTTGAGAAGACAATCAGGTATGCGTCAAGGAAGGCATACGCAGAGACCAGACCACGAATCAAAGGCCGGTTTGCAAAGAGAACAGATGTAGATTTTGAAGTGGATCAGATGTTCTCCACAACATTAATGACAGAAACTGGATATAGCATTGTCCCATCATTTTAAGTCCCGCATCGAAAGGATAGAACACTTGTTTATATGAGGGTTCTGCTAGTTATTACTGAAGTTGTAATACTAATACTTTAATACATTATGCTTTCTGAATTTAATTTATCTCGATCAATGAGAATCTGTTTTGGTGGTTTTGTCAATTGTCTTTATTCATAATGCTCTTATCTTGTAAATGCCTGTATATTTATGATTTTCGAATTGTAAGCTAAAGAAATATTTATTGCAATCAATTTTCTCATATGAGAAATGAAAATCGAATTTGGATCAGTACTGGTGTTAAAAAGGAGGATTCATTATGATACCTTTCTGATGTTCGACTTATCCACTGAGGAAATCCAGCCTCCATAGATGTGCAAACTGACTCCTGGATATCCCTAAGCTGTTAAAAAAAGGGAAAGGAAAAAAGTTCAACCACAGTGGCAATAACGACATAAAGGGAGCAAATGCAGTAATTTCATAAAGGAATAGAGCTATTGATACCTTATTGTCTGTTGTAATTATTGGAGATTCAAGGAGCTTTCCAGCTTTTCGCTAAATCAAAGCTCTGCCACTTAAAATATGCACTTTTTTTTGCCAGAGACGACAATTTCTGTACCATCAAGCTTACATGCCAATCCTTTTCTCCACTTAAGTATTCTAGTTGAAGATTGTAATACAGAAGGAAAAGGGAGCTTAGGTCGTAAGGATTTTCTACACAACCATGTCATACAAAAAATAGAGTCAGGAAACAAGAACATCATATTCAATTCGTTTTATGGTTGCAACTATACAAGTAGAATGGGAAAAAATAACAAAATGAATAAGATCTAACTGTGGACTAGTGGTAAAATGAAGTGAGGAATGAAAAATAGATTATGAAGTTCACAAGTCCACACGGGACATTTTACAAGGACACTTAACAACTTTCCAAACCATAAGATTATTCAAATGGGCTGATAATTACTTATACTTTGATAGAAGGCATATCTTTCAGGCTTAGCAATCTATCTCCTAAATTTTAGATCCTTCTACTTATTCATTATTCTTTACAGTTGATTTACTGTAAAATTCATATTTTAAAATGAAGAAAGAATATGAAGAAGAATTAAAAAAAGCAAAACGAGTAAGGTGCCAACAGAAGTGAAAATGCCAACACTACAGGAAAGATAACCAAGGCGATCATTCTAGAGATCAAAGTTATTGCTATATTGTCTATGTCTTGTTCTTCTAAGCAAGCATTTTAATCACATATTATAAAAATCATGGTCATATCAGAGAGGAATAAACCAACAAATACACTTGCACCTAGTAGCTGATAAAGATAAAAAATATCCTTCTCATCATGGCATATTTTATTGTACATTCGGAGATTTTTTGAAAAGAAGATTGCCCCTTTTGCAGTATGTGCAAGCCAGTGAAACACAAAAATTATAGCACACAGAGGTGTAATTCAGAGGTCTTTTCTGTGGAGGAGATCACTTCATAGTCTGATACCCCATGCAATTTTATTATATGAACAAAATCTCAATCAGATGTGCTTTCCCACTTTAAAATTGAGGTCCTTACTGAGCCCACGAACCTTTTAGTATCTGTATCTGCTCTGGTATATGTCAGTTACAAGAGCTTTATGTCCTCAGAAAGCAACTTGACACTAAGATTCTTATTGTCAATGATATTGTGCTGCAGCCAACCACAGTGTAGATTCTTATTGTCAATGAGTATTGACCAGTTAGGTATCAATTAAGCATCCGTCAACATGAGGGGGTTTTTGCATCAAATGTAATGAAAATCCAGTTCATGAAGGCGCAAAAAAAGCGAAGGGTAGAGGCTCTTACTTATCTTTAAAGCAGACTGCACCTTTCACTTTTCTAATTGGAAAACAAAGTTCAGCCATGTGGAAATGAGTCCCTAATATTTAAATACAGAAAACTATTGTGGCCACTTGTCTACAGCTATAGTACTCAAATTGGCCCAGTTTTAGAACATTTTCTTGCTGTCACATTTATGCTCCAATGCTGTTAATCGGCTAAATTTTATCAATTTCTCCACTATCACAAGAATTGGCCTTAGATCCGAGCTTTATTGCAATAGGTACTTCTCCACCAAAGATAAGCAGAATATGCATGTTCCTTTGGTTATATTAAACTTGGCACCTATGTAACTTAAGCGAGTCGGCTTCTATATCTAAGCCAAAAGACACGTTAAAAATCCTCCCCACAAAATTAATCACGCGTCTAGACCTGGAAGCATAAGTTGTAGGGTTAGTCTTGGTGCAGCCATAAGGTTACACTCTGCTGTGGCCTGATTTTCACTGCTCGAAACCACAAAAATTAAGACCCCTTGAAATGCAGAATGTCAGACTGCATGTAGTTAATCCTCCCCAGAGCATGGAATGCAAAAGCTTGTGTACTAGATTAAGATCCTTGGGAGGTACCAAATAAATGACACCTGCATCAGGACCTTTTTTGAAGTAATATTAGTCCCCTAAAATTTAATGATCTTGTTAGAATTTCGCTCAATCAACAAACAGATTAAGTCCAGTGGATTATAAGTAATAAGAGTATTTTGAAAACTCCTTTGGCACAAAGGAAAGAAAATTCAAATTTTCCTATGTGACCAAATTTATAGAAATTCTTTTAATTATATTGTTCTAGACCGTCAACCTTCCTTCAGCATCTCAGTGGAAAAATTGAAGTCCTCAATTTCAGAATAATAGTTTCTAGTTTTTGGTGTTAGATGCTAAAATTCTAAAGCTCATGAAAATACATAAAGAAAAAAAAGTAGTAGTAGATTGCACCTTGTAAATAAAGGTTTGCACTTTTAGGATCTAACAAGATAAAGAGAACATAATTCAGCCACAGAAAGTGGAGACCATTTGTAGATTTATATCCTTTCCATTGACTCCAGACTGATTCTTGCTCCTCAGATTATCAAATTCTGCTCTGCCATTCGTTGATCATATTTGCTTTTCCTTCACCTATGCAAACCAAGATTCTTACAAGCAAAATTATCTATATGTATCAGCAAAACAATCTGGACCAGATATTTTCATAAATAAGGCCTCCTGTCCTTTTGGATGATCATCAGAGTTATTTAGTGGGCATCCTTGAAAGTGCAAAAGTGTGTTATCCCCTTTCCAAAAGTAGATATGCTGCTGGAAGGAAAGCAAGTTAAACCAAAAGAAAAAAGATAGAAAGAATACTCTAAGATTACTGTTGGATGGCCAAAAATGCATGACGGCATCGTGTTTAATTAAAACCACTCAAGCATGAAAACCTTTCTAGTTTTTGCTCACTTCTCAAGCTGATGTAGAAACTCTTAGATTTGGATTATCAATTTATGCAAATTCTTCAACGGCTTTCCAGGAAATGTATCTGCCAAGTATGCATTTTTACTAGGTTTTGAATTCAGCATTCAAACCAGGTATATCAAAAGATGAAGTGAAATGATTCCACGTCACCACTTCATCCTGCACGAAAATAGACTGGGAAGAAGGATAAGAAGTGTTAAACCTAGAACATGATTTCTGATCCATCGACGGCAAATATAGATTCATAACACCATTTTGGTCCAAGATAAATTATCCACTTTCTTTTTCCTAAGTTTAGATTCATTTTCCAAGGATCATCTACGTTTGCAACTTTGACTACTAAGAGAAGTTCTTGTTTTAGTTTTTGATTTCTGAAAGTAAAAGATGTTCTATGTGAAGATACATTTGGATTCATGAAGCTAAAAGGACATCTCAGAAACAAAAGCATTTTCCTTGAACTGTAAGCTCAATCCCTTCAAGTACTCATCTATTGCTCTCCTTTCACCACACTAGACAATCCACAAGGAGACTCCAGATGCTGTGATTTTCTTCATCATTGACAAATCTTTTACTTTCACCAACATTAATAGACTTAAAAATAGAGAGAAAAACTGACCATCAACTTGAGCTACTTAAGAACTTTTAATACTTAATTAGCATCAGCTTTCAACGTTCAAATAATTACTTCAGCCTTAACCACTCATATTTTCTGTTGGTTTAGAAGAGCAGAAAATTAAGGAAGAGAAGGAAATTCTGCAGAAAAAGAAAAAGCTGCAGATTTTGTGAGTGTGAAGAAACAATTAATACAAGAATTCCCAAGTCTGCGCAGAATCAAAAGAGGACTCAGGAAAATGCTGTATCTGATACACCAAATCACCAACATGGATCGCATGAGATTTGCTGTCATACAATGAGAGGACACATGAAACAACATCAGGTTGCAAATTTACTTACAATATGACATGATTCAACCACACTTATATTATAAGAAATGATCTCTAAACATAAACTAAGGACAGATCACAGAGAGAAGAGAAAAAACCGAAACCTGCAATTAGGATGGACAATCTTTGATACTATCCAAGTTATATAGAATATGCAAACTTTTATATATATAGCATTATAATGTAGCCTACTTGCTAGCTTTTCAGACGTTCCAAATAATTGACATTTTATATCAGAGCCCATTTTTAACCACTCACCAATTATTTTGAATCAGTATTGTAAATTGACGAAACGCAAAACAATTAAGGACACAATAAAGAAGAGAGATAAGTGTCTAGTTCGCCAGTAAACATAAGAAAATATGCCTGGCACGAGGACTTATTGGTCTGTGCAGGCATTGTGGGAGCAAGAAACAGTATTATATTTCTTATTCAATGTCCTCACTATTAAACATAAAGCATAGCCAGACACATGTCATTAAACATGTTTATTACCGTATGTACCTGCCTATAAAGTCCTAGAGAGACATGTTATGAATATATCATGGACATTGTTAATACACAAATGCAACTTAGGCTAGCGTCAATATAGTACATTAACCGGTAAGGTTATCAAGCCATCACAATTTGTGGAATGGATAGAAACATTAAACTAACAAGCACGTAACCCGTACATTTAAAGACTTTATGCGCAATTACATGTGTCATAATTACATTTTAAAAAACCAAATATTCTATATCGCACAGAGAGCTATGTCTTATTGTGTGTGTGAGTGCTGAAGTTTGCCTCTGGTGCCTCATCTTTCGTCATAACTCATCATCAAACACAATATAAAAAGTACTGTATGGAATGTTAATTGCACCCCTCACCTCATCCCAGGACCCGAAACCCTCATCTCGGCCTCTCTGGTTGCCACCACTCCCCTCCACTCAGCTTCAGAAGATGTAAGGAGAGATGTTCCAATTGCATTGTCTCGGCAACTAGAAATGAGATGGTAAGAATCTGC